AAGGTCACCGCTTTATGCTCCATGATGTCGGCTGGATGAACGAGGGTGCGATCCCCCACCTCCAGCTCACTCGGCGGTAGTGGGTTCGCCTTCAGCGACTTGTGGAGGATGCCCACGGCCTCTGGCTGCATCACAAAGGTCTTAAAGTTGGAGATCGACTCGTGAACTGCCGCGCGCTGAGCCCTGCTGGCCACACGCTTCGCTGCAATGACATAGTTCTCCAGCACTGGGGTCGACAACCGACTCGGGTCACCGAGAACTGCCAGCCACTGGTCCCACGGGGCCTCGCGACCCGCATTCAATAGGTTGTGCACCCCTTCAGGCCTGGACTGCCGTAGGAGGGTACTAGCCTTGCCGTACTCCTGCTGCTGGCGCTGGCCGTTGTCCCTGCACTGGTGCCTGAGGACTCCAGCGAGCACCGTGTGGACGCGCGTCCACCACTGGCTACGTTGATCATGAAGGGCGAGTTCCCGAACATGGGCAGTGACCCTCATGGGCTTCTCATGGATCCTGGGCCCCACGGCGCGCGTGGGCCCAGCAGGGGGCCTGACATGATGGTGTGTATGGAAAGCCTGCTCGACCGCCGTCACCCAAGTCGCGCACTGCCCCGTGAGGAGCTTTCCGCGAGCAGGTTCAAGCGAAAAGGCTACGGAGGAGGAAAGGAAAGGGGAGAGACTCGCCACGGCATCCGCTCCCGACCGAAAGCCCACCTGCTGTCGAGCCTCGGCCCACGTGGACGCAGGAATTTCAAACGGAGGGTCGGGCACATCTTCGACCACGGGGCACGAGGGGGCATCCTGCTGGGAGGGGTCGGGGCGATGCAACTGAACACTGCTACTACCTACGTTGCTGCTAACTAAGGGGTTACTTGAAACCGCCGAGGGGGGAAGGGGTTGGGCCTCGCATGCCGACGAATTGACACTCACATTGACTGCATCGAGCTTTTTGTCTCCGACGGCCGATGCGCCGACCGCACCCGATCCATCAGACGACAGCTCGCTACCAAGGCGTGAGTCAGTACAAAAATTAAACTCGTGGGCCCAGGGGCCCTCCTCCTCCTCAGGGAAGGCCAAAAAATCGTGGTCCAGATCAGGGTCCTGATCGGCCTCCTCAGCCACCTGGGAACGCGATGTCCCAAGTTGCACGGGGGGCTCCAAAACATCCCCGAAGGCCTCCTGAAAACCCGCGACCCTCTTGGCGTGAGCCTCCTGGCGCTTAACAGCCGCAACGGACCTGGCCTGGCTGGACTTGGATCCAGGAGTGGGCTCACACCGAGGCCTCGGGAGTTGGGGCAACTTCGGGGGCAGGGAAATCTCACGCGTCCTAAGGGTCTGGCCCGAAGCTCGTAGGCTCAAGGCTAGACCGAGATGAGGCTTCCACGGGACGCTTCTGACTACTTCTAGACTCTGGATGAATGAGGACGCGGCAGCGCTCATATAAACAAAGTCGATCATTGTGTCTGGTCCTTTTTTCTGGGCACATGTGCCCTCAACTCCAGCTGGGACGCGTACATGGCCCCCCGTCACTCTGTGGAAGGCCGTGCGCTTGAGCTCGTCTGGCGTCATGTTGAAGTCGCCGATGACCAGCCACGGGACTCGGAGTGAACGGAGTAGTCCACCGAGTCGGTTGAATCTCTCGATGTTCCTGCCCGTCATCTTGATGGACGGCAGCGCGTGCAGGGCGACCACCGCGATCGCGTAGCTGTGCTGCTGCAGTATCACTGGGCAGAATCCGTCGTACGCCGACTGCTTCGGCGCCTTGAGGTACTTGGCAGCAGCCCTCGCCTCGGGCAGCTGTTGGCTCTGCAAGTGCTTGCGGGAGAAAAACATCTCACCTCCCTCGTTCGAGTGCGCCTCCTTGGCCTTAGACACTACCTTCGAGGTGCGGCGAGCCGAATTCATGATCATGCGAAGGTTGAGAGCCCGGCTTGCCTTGGTCCACTTCTTGACGACCGACTCGCGGTGAATGTGAGTCTCAGTCATGATCCAGTGGTCGTAGGCTCCCACGTGCTCCTGTACGTACTTCCACACCTTGTCCGTTAGGCAGGTGACGTTCGAATAGAATAGCCTAGTGCATTCCCCTTCGTCACTGCCTGCCCCCTCGGTCTTGTGGGTCCGAGGGGCCCCCGTCCGATACCGTCAAGCTGAGGGATCTGCAGGCGCCCCAGCGGCCTCACCACTGGCGGTGCCCTTGCCCTTCGCCTTCGTCGCCGCCTGCTGCGCCAGGAACTTGGCCGCGGACAGCCTCTCCGCCTCCGCCTTAACGGCGTCTGAGGGGTCAGCTGCCGCCGCCGCGCCGCCGCCGCCGCCTGGGGTGGTCCCCGCCGCCGATGCCGCCGCCGCAGGAGGGGCCCCCTGGCCCCCGCCGCCAGCCGCCGCTGTGGCCGCCTCCTCAGGTGCGCCGTCAGTAGGCGCGCGTCTCTTCTTCTTCGCCCGCTCCTCGATGGTGTGCCGATGCTGCTGCATGGCCTCCAACCACTTCTGGATCTCGGCCTCCTTGCCCGTGAGGGTCTCCTTGGCGCCCTGCAACTGGCCTCGGAGCTCCTCTAGGGCCTTCTTCTCCGCGTCCGTGGCGTCCAGCGCCGCCAGGTTCGTGAAGAAGCTGTCGTCCCACTCCAGCGTGATGATCTTCTTCTCGCCGTCGGGGCTAGGCTTGGCCTCGGTGACCCCTTCGGCCTTAGCCAAGGCCGTGGCTGCTGCTCGCTTGGCCTCGGTGGTCTCGGCCAAGTGGATGGCTGCCGCCCTCTCTTTCGCCTCCGCAGCTGCCAGATTGCTGCGGAGGCGAATGACATTGCTAACCGCCTGGCTGTGGAGGTGCTCCGCGTTCCTCCACGCCCCATCGGCCCTGCGCAGGGCCTCCGCGGGCGTGATCCTGGCGGCCTCCCGCCCGCTCTCCTCCTTGGCGAGCTTGTCCAGCTGCGCCTGGAGGTCCACCTTGAGCGTGGAGTCGGTGGCGGCTGCCAGGGCCTGCTCCAGGAGGCTCTTCACTGACTTGCCCCCCTTGCCGCCCTTGCCGCCTCCGAGCCCGCTCCCCACAGGGCCCTTCAAGATGCCTGGGCGCCGTGGTTGCGGGCGCTCGCTCTCGCTGCCGCTGGTGGCGTCGTAGAAGCCGTCGGCGTCGCTGTCGCCGTACTCGTCCACGAACTGAACTCGCCTCGGTTTCCTCTTCCTCTCGAATGGCTTGACCTCGTTGCCGCAACCGCTGCAGATGTTGTGGCGGCGGGCCAATACTCCGTTCCACTCGCACGTCTGACATTGCATGCATCTGGTCCACAGCTGGTGGACGCCCGCCATTGCGTCTGTCCCTGTGTTGGTCGGTGCCTCTTCTTGGCTGGCACGCAGAAAAGACACAGTCCCTCAAGCGCTGCTGGGAAGCCCAGGGACGAACTCAAGAGGGCAAGTGGGCCTCCTGGGGGCCCTCACCCGCTCGAGCCCAAATTGCTTGAGGGACGTGGAGGAAGGGGAGACACACGGAAGACGAGGAGGAGGAGGAGGAGGAGGAGGAGGAGGCCTCTCGGAAGCCTCTTGGGGCATTGTTGGGGCCTCCTGGGAGTTTCCGTGGTGGCCTCTTGGAATGCCTTTTGTGGGTCTCTTTGGGCCTCTTTGGCGCCTTTAGAGGCTTCTTGAAGGCCTCTCTGGCCGTTTTAGGGCGTTCCTGGCCCGTCTGACGCCGTCGGACGCCGTCTTGGGGTCCTCTCTGAGCCGTCTTGGGGCGCTTCAGGGCCGTCTTGGAGACCATCTGGGGCGTCTTGGAGGCCTCTTGGGCTGTCTTGGGGCCCTCATGGAGCCGTCTTGGGGCCTCTTGGGCCGTCATGGGAGGTCTTCCTGGCCGTCTTGGAGGCATCTAGGTGGCTGTCTTGGGCGTCTTGGAAGGCCGTCTTGGGGTCCTCTTGGGGCTGGTTTGGGGGCCTTTTCGGCCCATCTGGAGCCATCTTGGAGGCCTCTGGGACGCTTTTGGGGACCCCTTGGGCCGTCCTGGGCGATCGGAACACGAAAGCAGAGAAAAAGCCAAAATCCTTCAAAAACTTATGGACAGTCAATGATTTTGGCTTCTGTGGGCCTTCCTGGTCGTGGGCCGTCTTGGAAGCCTCTTGGAAGCCTCTTGGAGGCCTCTGGGGCCGTCTTGGGCCATCTTGAACCCTCTTGGGCCGTCTTGGAGGCAATCTTGGACCATCTTGGGCGAACTTGGAAGCAATCTTGGGCCATCTGGACCCTCTTGGAATCCACTTTCCCGAACGTTGAGGTCGTCTGCGCGCCTTCCAGGTGGCCGGCGCGCTGGGCCGAAAGCCCCAGGGGGAAATTCTAAAAGAATTAAAACCATCAAGGATTCAGCACGCCAGGCACCCCTGTGGCAAGCCAACAGGGGGTGGCGGATTCAGTTCAAGCGCGTGGCTTTCGGCCCGTTCCGCCGCCGTGCCTGGCTCGTGGACCGGGGGCCTTTTACACGCCCTGGCTTCTGGAGGGTTTCGCGGAGGCCTGCTCGTGCCTCCTGGGGGCGTCTTGGTCGCTTCTGTGGGCCTCTTGGGAGCCGTCTGCGGGCGTGCCGGCTGTCTCGGCCACTTCGGGGGGAGGGCTCGTGGGTCCCCTGCGGGTTTCTCTTCTTGGGGCCTCTTCTCGGGGCCGCCTTGTAATGATTGGACCGACGTCGTGCTCGTCCGTCTTTCCCCAGGCCCCCCCCCCCCAGTCCAACGCCTCCTCCTTGCCAGCCTCGTCGTCCTCCTCCCCCTCCTTCTCGTCTCCCCCTTCCTCCGATGAGTGCGGAGGAGGGGGCGGTGAGGAGGAGGCCGGCCAGACCTCCCGCTCCTTGAGCGGCACGTGCTGAGGTGGAGGAGGAGGAGGAGGAGGAGGAGGAGGAGGAGGAGAAGGAGGAGGAGAAGGAGGAGGAGGAGGAGGAGGACAACGACGAGGACGGGTTGGAGGAGTGGAGCAGGGCGAGGAGGAGGAGTAGGAGCAGGAGGAGGAGGAGGAGGGAGGGAACAAGCCTCTCCGTCGGGCCGCCAGGCTGCCGCTCCTGAAGCGGTACCTGCGGGCATGCGACAAGCTCGTGCTCGAGACGGCCTGCCCGCCCCGCCGCCCGCCCCCTTCGGGGGTTCCCGGGCGGTGCGGTGACCTTACCGTTAAGCCGGGCCTGTCCCTCTACAGGAGGAATGTTCAAAAATGGTTCAAACATTGACTGGGGGCTAATTGTTGTTCAGCATTGTCTGAGATTTTTGTTGTTGGGTTTTAATTTCACAGATACAAAGATCGTGCAACATCCCCTCTGCAGGGGGACATGCCCGACCTAACCTTACCGTGTGGTGGGCCAGTGTGATTTCGATTCGGAAGGGCTGGACGATTTTGGGACTCGTGTCGCTCTCCGAGGGCGTCTCGGGCGACTGGGGCCTCCGAGGTGCCAGAACGGTGTGGTGACGGACCGTGCAGTGAGGTCTTTGGGGAGCCGAGGTCGCCGCACAGTCTGTCGACGCACCATGTCGTGACCGCAATTTCCCCACCCCCCCCCGCGCTGCACTGGGGCTCCAGGCACCGTCCTGAGGAAGAGGAAGAGGAGGTCCGAGGTGGTCCAGATCGAGGGTAGGGGTTTGTGGACGTTTTCCTTATATTTTTGGAGGCCTCCGCGGGCGTTCTCGCGCCACGGTCTTGTGCGCCTAGCCTGACCAGACCGCGCCCTAGACCCTAGAACGTGTCTGTGGGACGATGCTTGCGCGACGTACCCAGACACCCTCACGTCGTCACAGAAATCATGGCGGGAGTGTTTTTGGCTGTCTTCGGATTTTGGGAGGCCCTTGCTGGGCCCCAGGGCTGTCAACAGTGACTTGGGACGGGAAACCGGTCCTTGGGAAGGGGTCGAGACCTCCAGGGGCCAAGTCGGAACAACTCACGACGTGGGGGTCTGCCCTCCCCCCCCTCCCGCAGGGGGGATGATGAGGACTTCTTCCCACAGATGGGATGATGCTGATGCTGATGCTGATGATGCCGATGCTGATGCTGATGCTGATGCTGATGCTGATGATGATGATGATGATGATGATGATAAAGATACGGATGAGGATGAAGAGGATGGTGATGCTGCTGCTGATGATGATGAAGATGACGATGATGGTGATGGTGATGATGCTGACGACGATGATGGCGATGGCGATCACGATTGCGATGGCGTTGGCGATGGCGATGGAGATGATGATGGTGATGATGATGGTGATGCTGCTGCTGGTGTCCGTAAATGCTGTGATGCTGATGATGAAGTTGATGACGGCGACGATGATGATGGCGATGGTGATTGCGATGACGGTAATGACGAAGATATCGAACGATGATGATGATGTTGATGATGATGATGGTGATCGTGATGGTGCTGATGGTGATGATGGTGATGATGACGACGATGATGACGATGACGACGATGAGGGTTGCGATGACGATGACGATGATCATGATGATGGTGATGATTATGATGATGCTGATGCTGTTGCTGATGATGGTTATGATGATATAGTGGTGAAGGTGATGGTGGTGGTGATGGTGACGGTGATGATGATGCTGATCGTGCTGCTGCTGCTGCTGATGTTGATGATGATGATGACGATGCTGATGATGATGATGATGATGATGATGATGATGATGATGATGATGATGTCGACGATGCTGATGATGACGATGGAGATGACGGTAACGACAACGACGAAACATGATGATGCTACGGATGATTATGATGAGGGTGATGATGCTGGTGATGGTGATCTGGATGATGATGCTGATGATGAGGCTGCTGCTGCTGATGATGATGAAGATGATGACGATGATGACAATGATGGTGATGCTGATGATGTAGATGATGCTGCTGATGCTGATGCTGATGATGATGCTGCTGTTGATGCCGAGGAGGATGATGATGCTCATGATCATGATGCTGTCGCTGCTGCTGCTGATGATTCATTTTGATGAACTGTGGCGAGGGTGCTGCTGATGGTGGTGGTGGTGATAATGACGATGATGGCGATGCTGCTGGTGCTGGTAATGATGATGGTGAGGAGGAGGAGGAGGAGGAGGATGAGGATGATGAGGATGATGAGCATGATCATCATGATCATGGTTATGATGAGGAGGGGGAGATACTGCTCTCGGCACAGAAGGTAACTATGAAATCTCGCTTCGCCGATATCGTCCAGCTCATGTCCGCAGTGCTTATTCTTAGTTCCTCTACTTCGGGGCTGCAAGGGGACCGCATGTTGTTTCAGCCAACAAGCCTGAAAACGACATGCAGGAGGAGGGCGAGGAGGAGCAGGAGGAGGATCAAGACACGTGCAATGGCCCGCATTCGGAGGAAAGCATGGCGCGCAGCGACCGCTAGCCAGACAAAGGAGATGAGGCGGATGCGACAATGAGCACCCGCCCAGCCCCGTGTCGACCAGGTGCCACAGTTGCGGGAGCACTTCATGAAAGAGGGCCTGCGGCCAGCGATGTGCCCCCGGCCGGCCCGGCCTGCACAGATGTCCGGCGCCGTTTGGCCAGCGATGTATGCGTTTCCCTGCGCCTCTCTCGTCGTTGCCCTCTTCTGCCAGCCTCTTCGCCTCCTGCCACAGCCGAGACGTCGAGATAAGAGGCTCAGTCTTTCCGGGCTTTCTGGGGCTCAGTCGAGACGTCGAGATAAGAGGCGCAGTCAAGACGTTGAGACAAGAGGCTTTTGGGGCTCAGGAGGGGCTCTGTTCTTTTCGGGCCGTTCCCCCGATCTAGGTCGGGGAGCCCGTGCGTGGCCGAGGCTCTCCTCGGCCAGAGGAGCCCCTTCGCTCCTTCCCCTCGGCGTTCCTTCCGAGATCACGACGACGGTGTCGGCGTCACCCCGACATACTTCCACTGTATGTGCGTCGCTCCCCCAGGGGCGACGCGCACGCCGAGAACTCTTGCAGTATGCGTGTCGTGGCGGGCGCATTCTGGCAGCACCGCTCGGGGTACGATGTGCTGCACGATGGGTATACCATACGTCCGGGCCGGGCGCGCGCCTCCAAGGAGGACGTGCAGTATCAGTATGCCTCGGTGCGTCCCACTGTACTCCCCCCCGCGCCGCTCTGGGTTCTGGCTGACGCCTGGGCCCTCGGACTCGTCGAGCGGCACGGTCTCGCTCGACGGGGGAGAGCCGTCCGATCGGCGGGCGCTCCGCACGGCGGCTCGCAGCGGAGAGCGCGCGCCCCGAGCACACGACGCCCAGCATGCAGGTGTCTCGTGTCGTCGCTGGTCTCGGCCGGTCCGGCGCCGAGGACGAGGAGGTCGACGAGGCGCCGATGCGTGGCGCGGCTTTGCCTCAATCGAAGAAGAACAACAAAGATTACACCAGAGATAAACCCCAAGCAGTGGACGGTTTGATCGATAAGGAGATGGACCGGGAACCCGGGAGCCCGGAACCCACCGAAATCGGCCCGGAGCCCATAACCAGGAACCGGGAACCCGGATTTGGGAACCCAGGGTCCCAGCCAGCCACCAAAATCGGCGGGACATTTTCGCCAAATCTTTCAATTTCCGCCAGGACCCCTTCAGTGCAAGCACTGACTGGGGAATTGCAAAAACATGCGCGATCGAGGGTTCGCACCTATTTCTTGGAACTGCGCTGGATCCCAGCGGGCTGCGGGTATGTATATATCCGTAAGGGCTTCGCTCCCTGCCGCTGGCCCCCGCTCTATCATAATGAGATATAAGAGAGTCGCGTCGGTGCGTCTCGGCGCTGCCTTGGCGCATCTGGGAACATCATGCGGGGGCGGATAGGATTCATCAGCGCATCTTGAGACGTTGCCGTTCTTGAAGACGCCTACGGCGAATGACCGCCGGCCGCTGTCTTTTGAAATCGCCCATGTGGCCGAGCGTTGTGGCAAGAACTCTGCCAAGCTATCGGACCATAAGGAGGAACGTTTGGGGGAGGATGGCGGGGAAGATCAGGAGGAGGAGGAGGAGGAGGAGGAGGACGAGGAAGAGGAGGGGGCATCTTGGGCGCCTCTTGGGGCACTCTTGGGGCCTCCTGGGAGCTTCCTGGGAGCCTCTTGGGGGCATCTTGAGGCCTCCTTGGGCCACTTGGGGGCCTTTGGGGGCTTCTCGGGGGCCTCTTGGGCCGTCTCAGGGCATTTCGTGGTCCGTCTGACTCTTGGGGCCGTCTCTGGGCCGGCTGGGGGCCTTCTTGGGGTGCTCCAGGGCCGTCTTGGAGGCCATCTTGGGCGTCTTGGAGGCCTCTTTTGCCGTTCTGGGGCCCTCTTGGGGCCGTCTTGGGGGCCTTTCGGGCCGTTTTGGGGCCAACCTGGAGGCCTCTTGGGCGATCTTTCTGTGCTCTCGGGTCGTCTCGGGCCGTCGGAAGGCCGTAAAGAAGCAACTGCAACAATCCTTCAGACATCTAAAGTGAATCAATGATTTTAGCCTCTTCGGGCCTCCTGGATGCCCTCATGGATGCCTCTTGGGCCGTCTTGGAGACCTCCTGTGGGCCTCTTGGGCCGTTTTGGGCCGTCTTAGAGCCATCTTGGCCCGTCTTGGTGGGCTCCTGGCCTGTCTGACGCGGTCGGAAGCTGTCTTGGGAGCCTCTCTGGGCCGACTGGGGGCCCTCTTGGGGTACTCTAGGGCCGTCTTGAAGGCCATCTTGGGCGTCTTGGGGCCCCTCTGGTGCGGTCTTGGGGGCATCTTGGGCCGTTCTGAGGCCATCTTGGAGGCATCTTGGGCGATCTTGTGGCGATCGTTGGGGACTCTTGTGCCATGTCGAGCCGTCGGAAGGCCGAAAATAAGCGAATGCCAGAAATCCTTCAGCTACCTAAGGAACATCAGCTACTTCAGCAGCCTCTTCGGGCCTTCTTGGAGGTCCTCTTGGAGGCCTCTTGGGCCGTCTTGGAGGCCTTTGGGGGGCCTCTTGGGCCGTCTTGGAGGCTTCTTGGGCCGACTTGGAGGCATCTTGGACCCCCGTTGGCCGCCTAGGAGGCCACCTTGGACCATCTTGAGGCCATCTTGGCCGCCTTGGAGGCAGATGAGAGACCATATTTGATCATCTTGGCCATCTTGGAGGCCATCTTGAACCATCTTCAGCGAAAAAGCCGACGAGAGGGGCACCCCGACGGGACGGGCCGACTCCCCAGGGGAGAGTCGTTTTTGAAAAAGAGTCACCAAAAAGAGCGATAGGATTTGGCACGCCAGGCACCCCTGTGGCAAGCCAACGGGCAGGCGGAGGATCCTAGTGGCCTTCGGCCCATCCCGCCACTGTGCCAGGGTTGTGGGTCTGAGGCCTCTTGTACATGTGTTGGGGTGTCGTAGGGAGCCTCTCGGGGGCCTCTTGGAGGCGGTTTGGGAGCCTCTCGGGGACCTCTTAGAGCCTCGTGGGATATCTTTTGGGCCTCTTGGATGCTTCTTGGGCGCGACTTGGACGTCTCTTGGGGCCTCCTGGGGCCTATTGGCGGCCTCTTGGGACGTCCTGGGGGCTTCTCGGGGCACAGATATCATTGAACATTCGGTGCGTGGTCCCCTGCTTGGGACCACGTTGGGGCCGTCTTGGGGCCCTCCTGGAACCCTCTTGGGCCGTTTTGGGGCCCTCTTGGGGATGTCTTGAGCGTTCCTTGGGCCATCTTTGAAACCTCTGGGGCCGTTTTGGGGCCTTTTTGGAGGCGTCTTGGGCTGCCTTGGGGCGGTATTGAGAGCTTCTTGAGCCGTCTTGGAACGTCGGAAAGCCGAAAATGCGAGAAGGCCAACATCCTTCAAACACCTTCGTAAACTCTACGATTTGGGCCTCTGGGGCTCTCTTCGGAGGCCTCTTGGAACGCTCGTGGGGCCTCTTTGGGCCCCCTTGGGCCGTCTCGGAACCATCTCCGGGCGCCTTGGAGCACTCTTGGTCTCGGCAATGCAAATACTGTGCAACTTGCAGAAAGGATTATGGCTTCGTGGACGCGACTATTGCGACCCAAGAATTATACAATTTACGAGGGTGTGCGGCCTCTGGGACGCGAGCATTGGGTAATATACGAGGGATTCTGGTCTCGAGGGCGCGACTCTTAGGTATTTTACGTGTCCCACGCCCCCCCCAGGAATTCAGAGCACGCAATTCGGGTGTGGTAGATTAAGCGGTTCGGGGCTCCCCCTCCTCGCGCGGACTTCAACAGTTTACAGCAGGAAGCAGAGAGCAGGACTGCAACACTGGAGACTTGAAACTGCAACTGGCGCAGGGAGCAGCAACTTCGTCCTACAGCCTGGTGGCCCCAGGAGGGGGCCAGCAGATGTTTGTTTGTCCCAGGCCCCAGGGGCCAGAATGTATCCACATCCGCCACTTGCCGAGGTCCCCGAAGATCGCTCCCCCCAGAAGTTGGATATGGATAGTTTCCCGCATCGAACTGCAGTCGTGGCACTGAAGAAGGAACCCGTTTCGTTGGGAGGGGCTCAGTGTTCCTTAGTTGTTTTACAGTTCGCCTTAGGTTTTCTTTAGGTTTTCGATGGAACATCGAGGTTAGATAGAGAAAAAGGGGCCCTGTTTCTGTGCAGTCGAGACGCTGAAACAAGGACCAGTCGTGCAGCGCCCGCGCGGTGGTGGTGCCGAGATCTCCGACGATCCTCGCTATCGGCCCCCGGGACAATGACCAGTTAGTCCGGAGCGAAACATTGGGCCTGCGGAAGGGGTCAGGACCTCTGGGACCGCAGATTGAAAGCATGGGATCGGTGGAGGTCGAGGCCGAAGTCGCTTTCCACCGGAGGTGCGCTCTCGCAGGGCTTCCTCTCCCCGTGGAAGGGACGCGCAGCTGGCAGCGCTCGGCCGCAAGGCAGGTGCTGCAGCCTGGCGTTCCGAAGCAGAGCGCCCTCCCTTTCCCGCCTCCCACCCTACCCGGGAGCGGAAAAGAGGGGGGTGATGACTAGGGGGGGGTGGATATCATGGCGCGGGCCATGATTTTTCCTCAGATCTCATGGCGCCTCTTCTTGTTTTATTACGTCCCAGGCCCCCCCGCTGGGCCGCGCACATGCCGCCCGTCATGATTTGCACCCCCCCCTCCTGGACACCCCCCTCTTTCCCGCCTCCCACCCTACCCTTCCCCCTCCTGGGCGTTGTGATTCGGAGCCTGCCTCACGTGCTCTGCTTCGCTCCACGGCTTCGACGCTTCTTGGGCTCACTCTGGGAGAGCACCGCGCGAACGATTGTGATCGCCTTCTGTTCATCTGGTGCCGCCGTCTGAAAGGGGGACCACCCGAGTAGGAGATCTACTACACAGTTGATTTACCCCAGAAGCTGCTTGTTTTTTCGAATCTACCAAGATGCAGCGAACTTCCGTAAAGAATTGCGAAAACTTTGCGTATTGGTCGTAGATCCGGGGAACAACAACATTCTGGAGTTACATCAACTCTGTAGTCGATCCTTGAATGGGGAGGGGCGGGAGCAAGGGTCGAAAGTGTGGGGCATCGGGCGCGCAGCAGCGCCTCTGATCTCGGGGAGGGGGTGCTGGGGGTGCATTTCGAGCGGTGCGGCTCGTGCCGCGAGGTATCTTCACCAGTGGTTCTTGTCCGTCTTCATCAACTCCTTCCCGCTCTCCATGGTCTGCTTGCGCACTCCGTGATAACCCGACTGCCGCCATTCCGCCAGGGGCATGCGTCACAGTTGAGCAAACGTTGGCTGGGAGCTTATCGTTAGTGAGGGGGTAATTCATGTGCGCCCGCACCTTACCCACGATGTTTAGCAGACTTGCGTGCTTCGCGATTTCGTCTGGAGTGTATCCATGGTGGGGCGACGGATCATGGCCATCCTGACATGTCGCACATTGGATTGTTGTCCACCATCACTCGGCACAGGTCGTACAATGTTATCACTGCATACGTTGCACATTCAGACTAGAAAGGACGGGAACATACGTGATGTATCATGGAAAGCATGTAGGGAGCAGCTTGCGCGTATGGTCAGGTCATGATTATATGGGATGTCATCGTCACCGAGGGTCTACCCGTGATTCTCAGGATCGCAGTGAAACCGTGCATGGGTTGTATTCATTTGTTTCCAAGGTATGCTTGATTCCATTTCAATGCCAAATTGTGTTTATATAGAGAAGGGGAAGGAATCCACATGTATGTACTCGGCTTGCGAGTGCCATCAGTTGAATTGGGCGCAGCTTACATCTATCTCTACGCCGCATTTCCGTTGTGCTGTTATGGCTGGAATTTCCCTAACAGGTTGTGCAATATTCTGACGCGTGAGGGACATCTCTCTGGGGTTTCTCTTTCTGCCATCAACCGGACTCTTGCTCGGCATCCTCCTCCCCATGCCCCGCCTAAGAGGATAAGAGAAGGAGGAGGTGGAGGAGGCGCAGGAACAGGAGTCGGAATGAGAGGAAAAGGAGTCGGCCTGCTCAGGATCGCAGTCTCGATCTTGCAGGTTCTGAAGGACTCCCTGCTCGAGATGAGCCTGGAGGCTCTGGTGCGTCATCTCTGCCTTTGATGGAGTCTTCATGTCAGCAAGAGCCTCGTGTAGTGAACAGATTACGGAGCAGGCGACTGACAGATTTGTTTTGTGGCAGCACTGTTTTGGACAGTCTGGGTTTGGTTCCAGCCGAAGTTTGAAGTCAGTGGGATTTTCTGGGGAGGTCTCTTGCTACAGTTCAGACGTTGAAGCACGGATCTCCTTGGGTCCAGAAAGGGCTTTGGTTTTCGGGCCGTTCCCCCGACCCGGTCGGGGAACGAGGCTGTCCGTGCCCAGAGAAGCCTCTTCTTCTCTTACTGAGCGCCCCTTCTGGTACCACGATGACCGTACAGTGGGGGTCCATGCCGAGAAACATCCTGCTTGCCTCCAGTGTGCCCTGTGTGTTCTTGGGGTTCGATGGCTTTGCTATGGAGAGCGTGACGCTCCCACAGCAGTTGGGCTTCTTGTGGAGGGTTTCCTTATGGCCCCTCTTGTGGGGTTGCCTTAGGGCCCCGGTTTTGAGATGACTGACCGACGTACCTTTTTAGTGCCTCCAGCGGTTCAGAATCATAATCAGAATCAGGGTTTCACGTGGTCGCGCCCCCACTGTGGTACTCCTCCCAGCCACGACTGCCTCGCGGCTCTGGCCGACGCCTGGGCCCTCAGATTCGTCCAGTGGCACGGCCTCGCTCGAGGAGGGCTCAGAGGAGAGGCCCTGTTCGTCGGGCCGCTCCCCCGATCTCGGTCGGGGAGCCCGCTCGTGGCCGAGGCCCTCCGCGGCCAGAGGAGCCCCCGTCGCTCCCCACCCCGGCGTTCCCTCCGACCTCCCCACGACTGTCAGGAGCGAAAGAAGGACGCACATGTGCATGAATCCACGCTGGTTTCGAGGGCGCGCACTGCACAGCTGTTCGTACAGCGCGGCCGGTCTCGCGAGTCAAAGGGGCCGTGCTCATGCACATAGCTGGGCGCGTACGTCCTTTTCGTGGGCTCCCTAGACTGGTGCTCCTCCCAGGCCACGACCGCCTCTTGGCTCCGCCTGACGATGCTCAGGCGAGCGCGAACATGGATCAAGGGGGCGCAGATTAGCGACGTGTCCCGCTTCCATGGGAAATCGCCGATGTTCGCCGCCGAGCGAGGCGGCACCGGCCGCACTCTGGGATTAGCGACGTGTCCCGCTTCCATGGGAAATCGCCGATGTTCGCCGCCGAGCGAGGCGGCACCGGCCGCACTCTGGGGAGGGTACCTCCCCCGATCCATGGATTTGGCGACCGCGCGCCAAATTCATGGATCGCCAATCCATGTTTGCGCGCCCCCGAGATGCGCGGCGTGGCCCTTTGGTAGCACGATGGCTGTACTCCTCCCAGCCATGACAGCTTCTTGGCTCTGGCTGAAGCGCCGAGCGTCACGGCCTCTCGCTCGTCGAGAGCGGCACGGTCTCTCGCTCGCCGGGTGAGAGTCGCCCGAGCGGCGGGCACTCTCAGCACGGCGCCGCTCGTGGCGGCGAGCGTCTGGCCCGAGCACGCGCTGCCCGGGCGCGCTGGTTCGTCGTGGCTTCGCTGGTCACGGACGGTCCGTCGCCGCGGGCGAGGAGGTCGACGATCAGTGTCGTTTACCCGACCCCTATCCCCATGCTCATCCCCTTCGAGACCCCCACCAAATTACCACCCTAGTTGGGGATACGCTCCTCGAAGCCCGAAGGGAACGGCCTATATCCCCTGTCTAGGGGGGTCAATCGGCCAGTGGGGTCCAGCCCACGCTGGTGGGGAGATGGGGACCGGTTAAGGGATACTCAAGACGGTGACGGTCGTCTCGGGTCCGTAGCCATTTCGGCTCAAGGTTGGCCAGCAAGAGACATCTCTGAGCCACGCTGCAATCCCACTTATACTGAACAACACATGGCCTTTCATGGAGTACTGTGCCTTCTCGTGGCGGCCTTTACAGTGTGCCGTGGTTTGGACTTCCATGGCAAGCCTGCTGAGATGTTGGGTAACACGCCACTCCAGCTACAGTCAGCAGGTCGCGTGATGACGAAGGCTACGTACGACCAATTGAATGGAGCTTGCCGTACCAGCGGCGGGTCAGAAGTTCAAGGGTACGGGTGTTCCTCCGTATCATCGGACAATGATTGCATGGCATTGGCTGACGCAGCCTACCCACACTCTTTCGGATACATGGTCAAGAAGGACGGAACGGGCTGCCGTGTGCTCGGCCTCAAGAGTGACCTGGCCTTAGTCAGTGCCACCACGTTCACATCTGCGTGCTTAGTGGGGGGCGGCTTCATGACTGGAGAGAGCATCGACTACGCAGTTGGTAACAATTGGTTTTGCTACAAGACAATGTTTACACCGACGCCCATACCGACGCCCGATCCCACGCCCTACCCGACGCCCTACCCGACGGCCTTCCCGACGACCTACCCAACGCCCGACCCGACGCCCATGGACGGAGCCGCCGGAGGCGCGGCCGCCATTGGCGACCCTCACCTCCAGAACGTGAATGGCGAGCGTTTCGATCTGATGAAGCCAGGCAGTCATGTTCTGATACACATCCCTCGTGGAACGAACGCCGAAGGCGCATTGCTTCGTGTGCAAGCCGATGTACGCAGGTTGGGCGACAACTGCGCGGATCTGTATTTCCAAGCTGTGAACGTTACCGGTTCTTGGGCAGAGGGCAAACGAGTTGGAGGGTATCACTACAGCGTGTTGCAAAGTGCAACCGAGATTCCACAATGGGTTGCGTTCGGTGCGGTTCACCTGAAAGTTGTCCATGGGCATACGAACAGTGGTCTCCTGTATTTGAATGTCTACGTGAAGCATCTAGGACAAGCAGGTTTTGCAGTCGGAGGTCTTTTGGGGGTTGACGACCACCAAGATGTGATCACTCCTCCAGATGCATGTGTGAAGCGTACGGAGCTCTATAGGTCTGTGGACTTGCACGGCCGTAGCCGTCTTATGGAATCTGTTGGAATCGCAACGCTCGCTTGACAGCGTGTGGGGTCCTCCTCCGAGGAAGGGCCTCAAGCGTAAGGTGAGAGAACTTTTGCCGGTGAAGCGTTCACGAGAGGGCATTATTGTAGCAATCCATTTACATTATTTTGATCCGATGTAGTTCAAATTTTGCATCTGGTTCGGATTGATTCCAGGATCCATTCATTGGTGACTCACGGGCGCAATTGCCTGATGCATCTGTTTGCAGAGTAGTGCCGGCCACGACTCTTCTCTCCGCTGGATTTCCATAGCGCGTGCCGAAGTTTATCGGTCCTTCGAGTGCGCGAGGTCTGTTTGTCAGTGTCCCTGGCACTCTCCAGAGGTCCACACCGTTGGATGCTCACGATTGCGTCAGGTGTGGCCGCTTCTGCTAGGTTTTGAACAGTAACACGCCGTTGCCGAACAAACAAACCATAACAAAAAAAACAACGGTGACGGTCTCGGGGGCAGCAAAGAGGGGGGGTGATGACAAGGGGGGGTGGATATCATGGCGTCGGCCATGATATTTCCTCAGATTTCATGGCACCTCTTCTTATTTCATTATGTCCTTGGCCCCCCATTGCGCCGCGCACATGCCGCCGGCCATGATTTGCACCCCCCCTCTTCGACGCCCTACTATTGGCCGCCCCCGACGGTCCGTCGCCGCGGGCGAGGATGTCGACGGGGCGCCGATTCGTGGCGAGGCCCTCCAGTAGCACGATGGCTGTAGCCCGGCTGCTACGGCCCGTTGTGGCCCCGATCCATGGTTTCGGCGTTGACCCTGTACAATCCCTCCCTAACGTGGCGTAGCCCGGACCTCGGTGACACCGAGCTATTGGTGACGTTAGCTTTAATGGGTCAGGCTAGCTTTGGCGCAGTGTCGACAGGGACTGGGTCAGGTTAAGTTAGGGGTTTGCCACGTTATGGGGGGGGCGGGCTTGTAGGGCAGTCCAGTGGTACCGCCGCAGCCGTACCTCTCGTCCTGCTTTAGTTGCCAAGGCGACGGCGAAAGGTTACCTAAGACCCGCTGTTTGTTCCTTCGGCGCGCGCCGAGGGAAACAACACATTCTAGACGCTTCGCGTAACCCCACCATCCCCACGTGCAGGTCACCCACCTGTCCCAACTTGCACCTCCATCTGTTTGGTCTGACGCCTCAGTGCGTAACACAGAATTCCCTGGCATTTTGCTCAGGGCTGCAAGATGCTCGAGCTTCCCTGGGCGTTCCAGTTCAGCCAGCCAGCCCCCGCCCTGCTGCCCCAGCTGCAGCCTTGTGAGCTGGCCCGGCCGGCTTGTGCTGCGCCCAGTAGCTAATTAGGCTTGCCCGTCGGCCCGGACACCCTGTTCGCCGCCTGCGCTCTTCGCTGGCTGCCGCGACCAAAAAAAGTAACCTCACCATCCCATCCAGAAACGATGCCCGGAGGAATTGCCTCGATCAGGGAAGTGGGCAGCACGCAGAGGAAGGGTCCCCCAGTGGAGGCCTCTTGGAGCGTCTTTGGGACCTTTTGGCGGTCCCGGGCTCCTCTCAGAGCGTCTTGGGTGCATCGCAGAGCTTCTTGGGGCATCTTGGGGGTCTGTTTGGGGCCTCTTGGACGCATCTTTGGCGCCTGTTGGGGCCTCCTGGGCGCCTCTCGGGGCCCTCTTGAAGCGCTCTTGGGAGCCTTGGGAACGCTCTTGGAGACCTCTTGGGTCATCTTGAGGCCTCGGATGGCCATCGGGAGCGAAAACGCGAGAAAGCCAAAACAGTCATGTTCGCAAGGTTTTGGAAGGATTTGGGTCTCTTCGGGGCCTCCTGGGGGAGCTCTTTGGCCACTTAGAGCCGTCTTGGAGCGGTCTTAGGGCTTCTTGGAGCATCGTGGGAGCCATCTTGAGGCATCTTGGGGTATTGGGCTCTCCCAGGTGCTCTTGGAGTCATCTTTAATCAGTGCCCCCCACCCACCCGGGGAGTCCAACATGTGGCCAAAACCTAAGTCAAATCAATGATTCTGGCATTCTCGCCGAGCCCTCTTGGAGCCTCTTGGGTGCCTCTGGGGGGCCTCTTGGGGCCT